GTTTCAGAAACTTTATTAAAGTTAGAGCTAGAGCTTCCTCCTATTCCTAGCTCTTTTTGTCTATTAGTTTCTGAGTTACATGTTGTTGTTTTGTTCTCTCGTTCTTTGTTAGTATATTGAATATTGTTTTTTTCTGTACATGTTATCATGTTGTTGTTGTCTTTTTCTAGATATAGATTTTTCTTTTTTGATGTATCTGTTTTGATTTTTTCTTTAATATTTGAAAAAGTATTAGTTACTTCTTTGAGCTTCCTAACTTCTTGATTTACTTGTTCATCCTAGCTAGAGTTGCTTGTACTTAGGTGTTCTGAAGGGCCTAAATTAGATTTTTCATCTTGTAGAAGCTTTGGGTTATTGTTGTTCTCTTTGCCAAAGTCTATATCTTTTTTTTGTTTTTTGACATTTTTTTAATGTTTTCTGTTTCGCCAAACTCTTCAAAAGATCTTTTTCTTATAACAAGGGCAAGTGCCCTTGTTTGGATACCTTTTTTAGATTTGTTTGTCTTGATATTAGAGTATATTTTGATATTCAGTTATTTCTCTGCTCTAAAACTTATATGGTCTGGAGAGAATGTATGTAGATCTTGAATACTAATTTGAAAAATGAGACAAAAAAAAATAACTAAAATCCTCTCCTGTTCCTTCTGGCTGAGGGACCAAACATAACAAAATAATAAAAAAACATACAGAAAATTTCTTTTTAGATACTAACAGGGCTAAAGTTTCTAAAGTTAGAAAGAGAAAACTACTCATGAGCACTATGGGTATCAACAAAAACAAAAGAACTAAGCTCTCATACAACAAGAAAATTTTTGACCTTTTTTTATATCTAGAAGAAAAGAATAAGGAAAACATACAAAGTTCTTTAAATAATAAAAATACTACTACTTCAGAGCAAAAAAACAACAACTAAGCAGACAAGGTTGAAGCAAAAATATTTGACAAAGGTAAAAACAAACAAATAGACCACGTAGAGACCTCTTTTGAAAAAGAAACAACAAAATAATATATGAATTATGACATAAACAAAAGTCACTTGAAGGAGCTAATCAGTTCAAATACAAAAACTGCAACCAAAACTAAGCCACTTGACTTTATAGATAGCTTTGAAACTAATAGTCATGATCAACTCAAACCTAAATAGTGGTCAAACCTGTTCACCAAACTCAGAGATGTCAAAGCCATATACAAACAAGAGATTCTTAAAAACAAGATCCTCTCCAAAAACAAAAATGCTCTGGTCTTTGACATCCAAAGCCTAAACAATATATCTACAAATAATATTATTCTATCCTTAGCAAATTCCCTTGGTGAGGATCTTTTAGCTACCAAACTTCATTTTAGCAGAAGAAAAAGAGCCTACCTAGAAGTAGTTTTCAAAAATAAAACTTAACAGCAATACTATGTAATAAAAAGAATTAATATATTCAAACAAATGATTTTTGAATACATCTCTATCAACTTAAAGCGAAGCTTTCTCTCTGTTAAGGTTAGAAACATACCTCTAGGAAACAAAGACCAGACTAATAAACTTCTTTTAGAAACTTTCTAAGATTTCAGAATCATTTTCTCAGTTAAGCCTCTACTTTTCGAGAGAACCTCAGTTTGTTCAGACTAGTGGATTGTCTCATTTGAGACAACTGAAAACCCAGACCTTTCTAAAAGGCTCCCAAGGATTACATATGTTAGTGACTACAAAGTTAGTACTGAATAGAGAGAAGCCTTAAAAATATGCTATTACTATAAAAAGGAAGGCTATGTAAAAAAAGATAGTAGGGAGTTAAAAGATACAATTGCTTTACGCACATACTACAAAGAATTAAAATTACAAAAAGAAAAAAGTCATACTCACCCTGAGATCTAGCCAGAACTTAGCTCAGATAACCTCTATGTCTAAGCTCAGACTGAACAAGAATTGCAACCCACAGCATCTAAAGAGGAAAACTCTACTCTACTAACAAAGATAGCTAGTGAAAAAAGAAACTCTTCAAACCAAAATTATACTACAGAAAAAATAGAAGACAACAACTCAAATCTAGTACAAAAGATAAATATCTTATCTCCTGATTCAAAACCTTCCAAACCAAAATGTGAAACTGCAACAGCAGATATATAGAAAAAAAAAAGGAAGAATAAGAAAGGAACACATAAGAATGATATAGTAATAACAGAGACAACTTCTCTGAACAAGGCTCCTCCTCTCATTAGGACATACTATAATTAATAATAACAACTCAAAAACAATTTCATTCAATTATGAAAAAAATTACAATCGCAACTCTCAATATAAAAGGCCTAAACAACAAAGCTAAGGCACACAAAACTCTAATTTTTTTAAAATCATATAATCTAGATATCATTATGCTTCATCTAGCTGGCAACA